AGAGAGATTGTACAATTAGAGTGTAACGTGTATGTGCAGCTTAAAAGGGACTGCTGCGATTTTATTCAGAACGGTTAGTAAATTATAGAAATCTCTGCTGTTGGAATACAGGTAAGGCAGTGCCAGTCCTGCACTGTACTTTATGTAATGCTCCCTCTTCATCTCAGATAAGACCATTTCTATCTTTTAAATAGCAATCCCCTTATTGGCTGTGCATTTTCCATTTTCTGTGTTACAGGTAAATTACCTTTCCTCCCTTCCTCCCCCCCACCACCACCACCACTACTAAGTACCACCCAACACAGTTTTTATTTGTTTTTGCTGGTTGCCTTTGATAATCTGTACACATTGGATTGCCCTACAGGGTAAAGAAGAGACGGCTCCTGTAGAGCACACAAACCTGCTTGTCACTGCAAATCAAGCACAGTAAAGCTGACAACAGCCTTAGGAGAGAAGCAGCACATGCAGGGAACCAGCTTTTTTATTGCCGGATCCACCTACACAGAACCAAAGAAGAACTTTTCTGCAGCTTGGGAAAAGCAGAGATAACTGTGGACTGAACTAGAACGATCCTTTACAGTATATTACCACAAAATTACAGTATATATATATATTATACAGTATGTAATCTGTATACGTATGTATATATACGCATCAGTATTTTGTTAAATTAAAAGTGGAATTACCCGTTTTAAAAGCCTTAGTACTAATGACCGGCTACAAATTGCGCAGGTTGTCCCATGAATTATATCATTTCCACTGTACCATGCACTTGTACAGCTGCAGTCAAGCAAGGCACAGCCGTCATTTGTGCCCATGCATTATATCTACCGCTACATATATGTACATCACCTAGTCCTTTGATTACTTTTAACTGAGGCGCATGGCATCGGTGGTCTCCACTCTTTATTCCCTGATCAATTTAACAAGAACAAAACAAAACAAGTGTTAAAATAAATATTCTCTCTACTAAAAATCAAGCACTTTATAGGAGAAGCCAAAGGAGTCTGGAGGGCCCGCGAATCTCTAAGAATAAGTATTTACTTCCTATGCTCTTCAACTTCATCTAATGGCCATATTGCGGAATTATATTACATTTGACCTAAAAAGAAACTATACAAAGAACAGTCATTTATGCCTCTAGTCATGCAGAACGAACATTCTCAGAGATTCACAGGACAAATGGCTCTGCATATTGTTTATAAGCAGACCATATACGAAACTGGCCTTAAAATTTGAATGTAATACTCAAGCCAAAACTTCATTGATCCGATCCAAAGTCAACTTTCATAGGTGGATTTGTTTCTCATTATGGAAAGATTTACAATTATTTCCTGTTGGGTGTCTGAAGATCGAAATTGTAGGGCAACCTCATGTTGTCCTAGCCTGATGAGGCTAGGACAGCAATGAAAACCTGAACTCAGAACCTGAAAAAGGGCTTAAGTGTAGAGACATTCACAATTAAGCCCATCATCAGGTCAAATGCGTCAGTGCGAGGAGATCAAAAGTGGGACTTCTATGTGCACGTTCTCCAGAACAATAAAGTTTTATTGAATGCTGATCATTGTGTGAAGATGTTTTTTTGCTGTGGATAACGTATGGGGAGCATGGACTGCTCCATCTGATGCTCGCATCAGAGTCCCCAGACATTAGTATTATGGAACCTTGGAAACCTGACAGACGTTATGACATTTCTCCACTCCATCTAAAAGTTTAAAAAAAGTTTTTGGTACAGTCACACTTTAATGAATGCTGATATAGAAGGGGTCTACTGTGCTCACTTTGCTACTGAGCCTTGAGTGGTTACCTGGAAGTCTAGATAACTTGATAACTACTGGCAGTTACTCAGTGGTAACTATGAGTATCCCATTTTTGTTAATAGCTCTGTTACCAGCAGATAAAATGGGCCACCCAGATCTCTATGAATTTCTCAGGATTGTAAAAGAGAACAGAAAACGTATATTAATCACTACTATACCAGTTAGCGGCAAGTTCCATTTGGGAAAAAAAACTTTTCCTGAGAAATCTGCTGAATTGGCCAAGATCCAAGCCATAGGTAGCCCTGTCAGCACTAACCAGTTCTACAAACGTCAATTTAAAAATCAACTGAGCCAAGTTGAAAATTCTCAGCCAAACAGTGACTGCGTCCTATCAGAAGCAGTCACTGTTTGGGTATTCTGGCAGCCACCTGGGTTGGGGCTGCCTGAATACAATAGCCCCGTCCACATTCTGAATAAGATAAAACAAAACAAGTATGAGCAGGGTCATAAGTCTTGCTGTGCATACTCGAAGGTTATGGCAAATCTTCCCGCAGCCCCGTTCCACTTTAACTGGGGAGCAACTGTAAGGTAACCCTTCTTAAAGACTGACCAGTTTTCAAAACATGGGGGCATATTAATGAAATAGTAAATCTGACATTCACAAAATGTTCACTACAGTGAATCTTCCCGATGCACGCATTTTAAGTTACAGTGATGGATTCACCACCAGAGAATGTTTGATGAAAGTCACATTAACTGCTTTATAAATATATGCAATAAAAGTATCATAGTCAATGCTTCACTGATGGTGTCTATTATTTAACCAAACCATGATTTACTGCTTTGTTTGTTCAACATTTGACCCCAATAAAGATGAACATGAATTGTCCACCTAAATGGTCGCCTTCAAAGTTCTGAAGAAAAATTCACACAAGCAGATTCTTCAAGCTATGCATCTGGTAGACATTTTTGTGTAATCCAAGTTGGTCAACTATGACACCAATATGACATTTCTAAAAGAATGAAAATCACTTGCACACGTTGTCAGTTATTGGAGCTTCAACCCAAAGGCCATCCTACAGCTGGTCAAAACATGCTTGGGCATTCAAACATTACACACAAGATTAACTGAATTTGGTTCTATGAAAGTAAGAAAAGCTGCAATTTATCAGCATCTGCGCATCTTTTAATTAAACTCATAACAACCCCATGGATCAGTTTTTTATTCAGTCTACTGTAGATGTGGCTGAACAGCATACTATGTAGGACCTTTAATAGTGATACTGGGAGAAACAAACTTATCAATGTTTAGGGCCTACCTTGGCACATGGGCTAGACCAGACGTAGGAAACCAGCACTCCAGCTGTGGTAAAATTACTTTAAAGCGGCTCTGGGAGACATACATATGGCTGTCAGTCTTGCAATTCATCATGGAACTTGCTGGAGAGCCGAGGTTGCCTACCCCTGAGCTAGACAAGCACGCACACTCAAATTCACTGAACATAAGTATCATGCAAGGTATGAGCCTCATTAAAACTGGTATTCAGTTTTGAGTGCTTGTTGGAGAACTAAGGACCTTTGTTATCTCCATGGTTTAGTTGTGCTCCTCGCTATGCATCTTCTGCAGCCCACCTCTATTATGATGCAAAGCCATGATGCCAGGCTCCTCCTGCTTGATATTTTATGATGTAACATAAATCATCATATTAAAAAATTCACCTGTGTGAGTACTCGATGCACAACAATATGCCGGCCGATGATTCAGTCTACCAGTGTGCATCTTAAACTGAATTTCAAATTTGGATATACCTAGGATTTATCTGACTGACTTATACAAAGCCAGTATTCCAGCTGTAGGTATAGTCTACTTGGTTGGGTCACTTTTTGGTGTCTTTTATCTCTAGGGGGCTCTAGAAGCATGTTCACTATGCCAGAGTTCTCACCCACCAGGGAATTTCACTCTTCCTGCTACAAACTGGGTCCCCTCCTCTCCCTATGCTGCATTTTCCATAACAGAAGATAAAATACAACTGCAGCAGTACAAATTGGACCCCCATTATAACTGTAATATATTATAACTGTAAAATGTAATATATTGGAGTTTTACAGTCCTTAGATGTAGTGGCTGCATTTTTCTTCTTTTTACATTTTTTTTTCTTTATTTTAACATGGCGATCCTACCAATAACTCATTTTCTGTCCCTGGGTGTCTACAGTAAGCTCACTCACTGTACTGTATCTATGGAAGGGGCCATGGTTGTTTCACTAGGCTGAGCTCCTGCTTTTGACTACAAACACGACTTTCTTGCTTCATCTCCATTGCATAGGGGCAAGATGGCTTAGAAGGACGAAGATTGTTGGTGACTTCAGTCACAGCAAGTTACAAGGATACTGTGTTTGTGGAAAGATCAACTGGGATTTTCTGCTCAAAGCCATTGTTCCCTAATAGAAATGTTCAGATTTTGCTCAATGTCATGAGGCTCAATTTACAGTTGTCTAGAGTTTACTATTAATGTTCCAACAGCCATTACATTGTGTCTGGAATCTATACAGCATTGGGAACCCCCCCCATTGCAATAAGCAAAAGGTCAACTTTATTGGTTGGGCAAAATTGCAATTTCCGCAAATTAGCATAATGGAACAAAACAGATAATTAATTCTATATAAAAGTATATAATTTAAAAAGGTGGTTACCCTTTAAAGTGACACTAAACTCAGAAGTTACATCTTAAAAATACATTCAAGTACCTTACGTATTAACAAAAATGTATCCTATTTGTGTATCACTCGGCTGTAGATCCTCAAATCATCTCTGAATTGGAGCTGACACTGTCCTTCCTTCTGGAGGGGGGATACTTTTGTTCCCCATGGTCTCTGTGTGTGTTGTAAAGTAGCTGCCACTCTAAACTTGCATAATAGACTACAATCTCAATACAAATTAGTAAACTAAATGTGCGATTGTAGACCATCGCAGGAGTGAGTTTGAAGTGGACAGTGTCAGCACCAATTCAGAGATGATTTGAGGATCTACAGCCGAGTGATACACAAATAAGATACATTGTTATGATTATAGGTGTTAAGTTACTTGAATGCATTTTTAAGATTTAACTCTAGAGTTTAATGTCACTTTAAGTTCTAGAGCAGGAATCACAAACTGTGATACTAGCAATGTAAGTTTACTTAAATGTATCCGATTGGCCAAGAGCACTTTGTGTTAAAGTAGTCCATCATTTTCCCATACCTCCACCGGTCTTTCCTTCCGCCGAGGAGGTTTGAATATGGTGGGCTTTTCCAGTATAACTATCCCACCGTCATCTTCTTCATCATCTGAAATCACCTCTGGCACCTCGTAGGTTGTGCTACAGTTCAGCTCTTTGTGTTCCACGTTTACCTCAATCACTATGTCCACATCAAGCTAAACAGCATAAATGAACATCACCATGAAATACATTGTACATGAAATGTACATTTTACTGTTTTGCAAAATAATCAACAGAGTTCTTTGGTTAGTAAACACCACCTCAAGTCGAACTAAAATTCACTGCATATAAACCAAACCATAGAAAGAACACTCTCATTACACCGCAAACTGGGTAATGGCATTAGCAAGGGGCACTGCAACAAGCAACCAACATGCAATAACAAAATATTAAAGCAGACTCTGCTCAGGAACAATTGGTATTTTTGGAGGGGGTTGAGGTATATGTTTTTATATGACAGCATCTGGGGACCGAATCCCTAGAGTCAGCTTCTGTCCTTTTAACATAAGATGATATCATGAAATAAAATTGGCACAGTTCTACTTTATACTTAAATTTACAGTAATTTCTGGGGACCGTTCCAGGTAATGGAGGTGTGTCCCTAAAAATGTCCCTGGTTCTGGTTTTGGAACTCGGGGTTATATTCTGTTCCTACTATAATGTTCATATCAGCGATCTGCTGATCATTACTGAAGAAGATTCTGGGAAGTTACAGTCAGACAGATGTGAGATGGCTAAAACCATGCTAGGATTTGGAGCGGACAATCGGACTCACTGAGGTCATAAAACTATGGCTAAGATCAAAGCCTAAAGTTAATTTGAGGTAAAACGAGGGGCAGATTTGGTACTTTGAGTTGAGGATGACAAGGATAATGGTTGAAAAGTGGTTTGAGCTCTACAGCAAGGGTGGACAAATAAATGTGGAACTCAGGAGCTAGTCTGTCCAATGCAGGAGCCAGCAGGATATTTTTTAGGAGTCAGCTCCATTACCTACAACTAGAGAAAACCTAAAAGTTAGACGTCTGCGTTGATTGATCTTAACATAAATGTATGCATATCTCAATGACAGACAACAGGAAAGCTGTTGGCCTAGTAGTCAGTAAACCAATAGGGACCAGCGCTGAGGATAGAGGTTGCAAAGAAAGATGGGGGGCACCAGTGCAGGGAATTATTTATTAACCATTAACCATGGTTTACCATCTTTAACCACCACAGTATTTATATTATTACGTAATTGTTAATGTTCTTATGCTGCTGCACACATTTATTCTATATGTCTAATACCAACTTCTTTACACTGTGGCTTTTTTGCAGACCTACAGTACAAACCTCAGCTGTCTTATCAGGTTTTAGCTGAGGAGGCACTCTGGGATTTTTGACTGAATTGTTTGTTTCAGTTGGGTGGGCATTAGCAGAAGTTCTAACCGTAATACATCAACACTGTCAAGACATCTAAAATAATGCTCTTTATTGCACATAAAGGGATTTGTGACTAGCCAGGATACTGCTAACTCATCCAGTACATCTGGCTCTTTTCACTGGAGACTTCATGGTCAAACATTTACCCCCATTCTAACCAAGGCCCGCAAGCAGCCATGTTCTGCTGTTATGACACTGGAAGGGAAGGGTTAGATCAGGTTTTTATAGCTGGTATTCACTTTATGATCCTAGCTGAAGAAATAGTACAGATGTAAGGGCTAGCTATTACCTGAACCTTATGAGGCAGCCATTTTCTAGTAAGGGAGGCCTGGTTCATAATGCTATCTGGGCAGTTAGGTTGTTTCTGGGCAGTTTTAAAATGCTAGGGAGTTAAGAGCACTACTGACAAATGTCTACTACAATCTAGTGTAACAGTGTCAACAAATGCTTAGTAAATCACATAAACCACACATGAAAACCATCAGGTGAATATTCAAACAACAGTTATATTTTCCAGACAGTAAAATAACTTATTAATTTTGTAGTATGAACGTGACATGCTTATCAGGACAATCCAATCTGGTTAGTAGCAATTCAATGGAATCTACAATGGAATCTTTATATCTCCTTCACTTCAGTTCACTTCTCATGTAGTTAATTGTTCAATGTTTGCTTTAGGATGCAAAAACTAACTGGTCTAAGTATAGGATGTAGGAGACTGGTAGCTAGTCATTACAGGGCACCATAGATAGCTGTACCTGGCTATGAAATAACCTCATTGTACTTTCATGAACAAGTAAACTTGATTTGTTTCAGATCAGCAACTCACAAAGTGCCAAAGCCAGAGACAGCTTAGTAACTAGCATATTTGGATATCATATTTGGATATCATATTTGGATATATGGATATCAGAAATGGCAGCCTACATGAATGAAGACAGTTCCTATGCAAATACTGACTTTTTGAAAGTCAGTATGCATATTTTTGGGTTTACCCCTCGTCCAATCAGTGGTTGAGCCTAGCGATGGTTCACTCAGATACCTCGATCTAATATGCTGGGGGGACATGCCTGCTCCTTGCATTGCCAAAGGGGAGTTTGGCTGTGCAGTGCTATCCGAAGAGCGACATGGCAGCCTACATACTGCTGCACGAAGACAGTTCCTATGCAAATTGTGACTTTTTGAAAGTCAGTATGCAAACTTTTGGGTTTTCCCCTCTTCCCACCAAACAGTGCTTGAGCCTATTGATGGGTGACAGAGCTATTATTTTGGAGAGGCATGTCTGCTCTTTGCATTGCCAAAGGGGAGCCTTGCTTTGCAGGGCAGTCAGAAAGGAGGCATTGACCTTAAAGGTATCAACTGGTGCCCACAATATTGGGGAAGGAGGAGGTTATCATATGTAGTTTTATGGAAGGTTTGTTTTAAGTTGAAGTGTAAAGAACTTATTTTATATGCAGAACCTTTAGATATCCAATGGGGGCTGGTGCCACCCTACCTGAAGAAAGCCATGTCTGTGTGCCGTTCTTCCAGGACTATGTAGACAACCCAGAATCATATTTTGGGACACAATTTAATCAACCTCTCCATTTTGTTTTTTTCATTTGAGAAAATTGTAATGCTTTAGACTATCAATGCAGTTCATGGTAGATTCCTTGTGAAACACCCACAAAACAGTGGGAAAAAAGCTTCAACAAAAGCATGCAGAACAAGGACACTTACACAGAAGCCCCAGGTCAGGACATTGTCACATACGGGAAAAAGAAACAGCAATATTACAATTACATTTTCTTCAAGATTCACATCAACAACTTCATCCACATAAATGTAACTTCTTATATCCTTTATTGTGTAGGAAGCTTGATTAATAGGCACATCCCAACAACTACCAGCTACTTACGGTTCCTTCTTATAGTCTACTGTGTGTGAGCTGCTAGGGTGGGCCCCCACCAGTGCGGGCAAACACTCTGTCCTCTAAAGGCCACAAGCCAGTAATCGTGGCTCAAAAGTGATTGAGGCAGGCTTAGCTTTTTATACCTACTGCAATCTTGTTCTGACTCCACAAAAACCTGGTGATTAAGTTAAAACAAGTTTTGGATTACCTGGTCCATATGGACATAACTGCTTGCAGAGTAAGCTGGAAACAGAAGAAGAGTTTGCCTAGGTGGTCAGTTCGTTTTTTAGACTCATTTCCATTGCTTTCATCCAGCTGTATTGCTATTGTGTTTCTTATTTAACAGCATATAAAATAAAAAAAGCTGCATTATATGTGCACTGCAATCAAATTCTAGCTCTACAAAGAGCAACCTTAATATAGAGAACATTTCAATTAATGACATATTGCACAAGGACCATTGACTGTGCACCGACTAGATAATGTATGCTAAATTTAGCTAATACTGCCCTTATACGATGTCATAAAGCAATATACTGAGAACTGGCCACCATCCCAGGAAGCACTTTATATTGTCAGGCACTATATAGCGTGACCTTCTCAATATGTTCTGCTGTAAATTTTCAATCACACAGACAAGGCAAGTGCTTTTTCCTATATTAGCTTGCACTTTTCAATTTAGATAAGCCTATTAGCAAAATTTATTTCTGCTCACATTTACAATTTAGGAGGGTTCATTTGACAAGCTATACAGACGGGACAATTAACCTGGGAGATGTTGTATAGTGGTGATATAATCATCAGATGCATTACTACCGAATGCTGTTGACAAACGAGCCGGCGCCGGAGCTGTCTGATGAATCAGAGGTACTACCTGCCAGTTCTCATTTGTGTTGGTGGGTTCTTGTTCACCAGCATCACTGTACCTCATAAAGGAATTCTTATTATATGCAGGTTTATCAATAAATTATTTTATTGATAAGCAAAATTATAAATATAAAAATATGTATAGCCAGAACTCCACTTTATAGCATTCGCTACAGTTGGGAGGGTTTCAGATCCATGTCAGTTTATGTTTTCCCGTCTGTATCCCATTGAGAAGAACTTCTGTTACTTCCTGTCGTAGAGATGCAACAGTGTCAGGAAATCTCTGCAAAGTTAGAGAAAATCTCCTCGTAGACAATGGAACAGGTGTCTCATTATAAAATTTAACCTCACTTCACCATAAGGCCTCATTCACAAGGGGCGTGTTGTCCTGTACCGCATTTTTTTATGCGGCAGGAGCTGAGGGAAGAAGTGTGTGGGCAGCTCATGTAACTCAATGGAGATGCAGAAGCTGTGCACCCTCGCACGCTGCTTCCCACAGCTTCGAATTTTGACAGCTGCGCACGGTGTACGAACCTGGATCCATCATGTCTGCACCCGAGGCCATACACCGCATGTGTGCAGCTGTCAAAACTCAGAGCTGCAGTGTGAGAGAGGGCACAGCTCCTACATCCACATAGAGTTACATGAGCTGCCTGCATGTTTCTTCCCACAGCTCCAGGCACATCACAAAATGGCCCTTCATGCTGTACGGGGCAACATGCCTCATGTGGATGAGGCCTTATTATAAAATTCTGGATTTGCCAAGACTTTCTGTCTCGGTAACAATGGTCACCTGGACAATTAAACAGATGGTAAACTTATGTAGTGAGGATGCATACAGTAATAAATCCTGACAGGCATTCTAACCCTTCCATAGTCAGTTCAAAAAGTTGTGTGTAATCCTTTGCAGAGCACACGCACCTCTATACCTGATAACAAGGAGGGCAGTAGGAGTATACTTCCAAAAGCCTTGGCTCTGTAACTTCTGTTTCCAGTGTCTATAATCACATTCAACCTTTAGAAAGCCAGATTTGATTCTGATTGGTGGCAGTGAGAAACTTGTTAGCATTATTTTATCAGGCTATCAGTGTGAAAGAGACAGTAGAAAGGCTGTTTCAACATCACTAGCAGATTTGTGTCAGGATCACCAGATACCAGGCAAAGGGGAGAGGAGAGGCCTAGAGCACTACAGCAATGTTGGGATGAAAACTGGACCTCTTTATCAGCTAGGCTATGCTCCCTGTATGCTTCTCATAGTTTATTTTATATATTTTACTTGAGCGTTCCTTTGTTCCTTTTAGTGCATTTGAAGGAAGCATTGGAAGATTGGAAGTCTGCAGAATGTAAGTGGTTGGTGAGTGAGCATGCAAACCAACAAATTAATATGATTTTTAAAGTGCCAAATGAACTCTCTCACATTGGTTTGTCGCCTTTTATTTCCTAACATTGATTGCCCACTAGTCCAATCGTTTCAGTTAATTTGCTCAGTGAACATGTAAAGAGAAATATCTGGTGTACATCTCTTACTTTGGTAGACCTCACTATTCTCACAGAGAAAGCAAAGCAAACCTACAGCTTCCAATTGTGTTGAGGGAAAACATCAATCATGCCCATGATATGTCTGCCACAAATCAGGTTTAAGGTATTTGGTCCATAAATAAGGGTTTGTTGAATTTTTATGTCATCACGGTAGAAGCAGCGCTGCGTTTTTCTTCAACTCCTGGGCATTCTCTGCGTGTTTCACATGCAGTACCCATAACCCCTAGGGTAAATGCATTTGCTGGAAAGCTCACCAAAAATGCAGCACGCAAGATGTTTCTTATAAAATGCACATAAATAACATAGATAGATGTGGATCCAGCCAAAATAGAATAATGTTCTACCCAATAAGGGAGACTCAGGGGCCTTCCTATAATGAGGCTGTTGCCTCAGGCAGCATCTCATTGGTGGGGCAGCTGATGTGGGGGGTGGCAGAGGGGCAGCCACAGAGCTTTTAGCAACCTATGACATTCTTGCCCAGCTCATTGACATCATCGGTTGCCAGGGAGCTGAGCGGGACACTCTTGATGGTGTCCCGCTGAGCTTCTAGCAACCAGTGACCTCAGTGGGCTAGGCAGTC